GCGCCATGCCCACGCCCCAGCGCCAATTCGCCCCTCTCCATGCGGCGTATGGGGCCGCGGCTACGCCCCAGCGCCAGTGCGCCCGCAGTCCCCTCCTTGCGGGCCGCGGCTACGCCCCAGCGCCAATGCGCCCTGCGCCCCTCTCCATGCGGCGCGCGTTCCCAGCTGCATCCAGGCACTCCCCCTAAAAAAGCGCCATGCAGCCTGCATGCCCTTTCCCCAGTCCCTCATGCGCCCTGCACCCACCCAGGCCCTTTGCCTCTGTCGCCTGCATTTCTCTCCCTGCTTCTTCTGCAGAGCTGGCCTTTCCACAGGCGAACTGAGGCGGCTGCCTCAGGTGCCAGACTGTGTGTGTGTGTGTGTGGGGGGGACGCCACTAGGACCCAGAGTGTAGAAAATTGTGTCTGCTGCTGGTGCATATGTTGATAGCAGAGCAGCACCATGAGAGGAGTAGAACAGGAAGAAGGCAGAATTGAGACCTTTCAAAGTTTTGGCCCAAGCGAGGGTGCAGGGGGGCATCCTTTGAGCTCCCAGCCTGAGGGGCGGGCCCTGATCTTCTGTCTGTAATAGCTCCTGTATCCCCACACCATACACCCCACACTGCCCCAGGCACCCACCTGCCCTGCTCACTGTCTGCAAACTCTGCCACGCCCCTTCCCCCCAAATTCCCTGTGCCCTTAACTAAGGCACCACCCGCATCCCCTCTTCATGCATCCTGCCCTTACAGCTTCAGCATCCCCGGGTGCCCTCCGCCCCATCCAAACAGCCCCATGCCCTCTGTGCCCCCAGCCGGTGCTCTATCGAGACTCCGTAGGCACCTGAAGAAAGACCTGCTCCTCTTACCCACAGCCGAATGAGGGTTATTCATTAAGGCTTCCTTGGGATTTACTGATGGGTGTGTGTGGGGAGGGGGGTCCTATAGTGCTACTGAGCTGAGCTGGACAGTGGGGTACCAAGCAGGGAAGATGGGGAGCTGCAGTGTAACAGGCCAAGCTGGGGCACAAGGGAAGTAGGCCAAAGGTAGTGGGCTTCCCTGGGCGCTGTGCTCTGGAGGAAAGCGATTAATCCCAGGGGACCTGCCTGGGCGCTGGGCCTGGCTGTATCCTACCCAAATGATGCCCTGTGTGCATCACTTCTAGGCTAGGCCTGTATTTACTAGCTGCTGCTCCAGGTCACATAGATCAGCCTCAGCTGGTGGTGGGGGGGACTGGGACCTCTTAGAGGAGAGAGGCCCCGGATTCCATTCCCTGTCCCCCCCTACTTGGGTCTGAGCCAGAGCCCCCTAGTGGAGAAGGCCTCTGGTGCCTTTACATGGATGGATATCAAAGGCTAAACGTCACAGCTATCCTCCAGCGCCGCCCTCTGCCTGGTTGCTAGAAATGAGCCCTCCCTCTGCCTCGGTGTGAGCTCCATTACACTGCTGGAGTTTCTCCTTCCCTGCACGCCCCAAGGGGAAGCCTGAGGAAATACGCCAGCGTCGGACTTGCTCTGTGCTCTCGTTACTCGGAGGATACCAGTTGCAACCATCTGTAGCCTTCTGTACCCCCCTTTCATAGACATAGGAGACGTTTTGTACACAGCCTTTCAGGAGGGATCATCTGCAGACTCATAATTTACTGATCATTATTGTCTCAGTGAGATACGGGTGGCAGCATTGCAGGCAGGTGCAACGCTCCAATGTATGCCATGTCTACCTCTCCAGCTTCCAGCGGCACAGCTGTACGGTTCAGCTGAGTTATGCCAATGGGAGAGAGCTCTTCTACTGACCTCATAAAACTAGCACTACCATGGCACAAGTGCTTATGTTTTTTTCACAACCTTATGCGGCAGAAGTTTTGCAGGTCTAGGAGCTAGTGTAGATATGGCCTGATAAAATCATGATGGGTGGGGAGAAAGTGAATAAGGAAAAGCAATTTACTTGTTCCCATAACATAAGAATGAGGGGAAATTAAACAAATAGGTAACAGGTTTAAAACAAACCAAAGGAAGTACTATTTCTTGCAACAAACAGTTAACCTGGGGAACTCCTTGCCAGAGGATGTGGTGAAGGGCAGGACTTTAACAGGGTTCAAAAAAGAGCTAGATAGATTCCTGGAGGTTAGGTCCATCAGTGGCTATTTGCCAGGATGGGTAGGAATGGTGTCCGTAACCTCTGCTTGTCTGGAAATGGATGACAGGAGAGGGATCACGGGAGGATTCCCTGTTCTGTTCACTCCTTCTGGGGCATCTGGTGTTGGCCACTGTGGGCAGACAGGACACTGGGCTAGATGGGCCTTTGGTCTGACCCAGTACAGCCGTTCTTATGAGAAGTTACAAGCAGAAAAGAAAGCCTTTACCAGAGACAAAAGCTGCTGCAGGGCTAGGCCAGGTGTTAATGAAATCAAATGGACCATCCCCAGGTTAAATGGCCATTCCCTGGCAGGAAAAAGGGTGTGAGCAGAAAATCTACATCTTGACAAAGGAACTGAGAAACACTCAG